TCTTTGTTTTCCTCAGGACGTACCTCGAGGAAGAGCTGACCAAAGCTCGTAAGAAGCCGTCGCCGAGGCCCGACATGTACCAGAAAATGATCGAGGTCGACCCCGAGGCGCCGACGGCCGACGAGAACGACAAGAAGGCGGTGACCAAACCCAGATACATGCAGTGGAGGGAGACGATCAGCTCGACGGCCACGCTGGGCTTCAGGATAGAGGGAGTCAAGGTGTGTGTGTGTTATTGTGTCATTGTGCTATTGTGCTATTGTGTGTGCGCTTCCTTCCCGCCTTTCTTCCAGCGCTCGGCGCGTCTCTCGGGTCGACATCGAAGTTCCTGGTTTTTTTTTTTTTGGGCCGGAAAACTTCCTCTGAAGTGTTTTTTTTTTTTGTTTGTCGAGCGCGACTGTCTTTGTCGTCCGCTGAAGTCTGTCCGTGGCAGCTGTATGGGCTTCGACATCTGGCGCTGACACACACACACACACACACACACAGACACACAACTCTTTGTCGTGGCTATATAAGGACATCCACGGCCTCCCGGTGGTCCGTTACCATGGCGCTGAGGGTTATCCCCAGAAACAGAGATGTGTGTGTGTGTATGTGTGTGTGTGTGTGTGTGTGTGTCCAGTGTGTGTGTCTACATATGTGAAGCTAATCAGGTGAGATGTGTGTGTTTGTGTGTGAAGGATTACGACGTGAACCATAAAGGGGAAAAATAGTTTTTGTCTCTAAATAGTTCCTGGTTGCCGGGCAGCCAGCAGAAATAAGAAAAGCTCATTTATTCCACACATACTCCACTGGTGCTACTGTACATGTACTCGTACTATCTACTACTACTAATACCACAACTTCCACTGCTACTGCTGCTGCTTCCACATTTCTGTTATTAGAGGCGGGGAGGAAACTAAAAACACTTCTTTGATTGATTATTTCCGCTTTACCAGACTTTATTCTCAGCGTAAACAAATGAAAGCTCTCGTTTTTTTCACTAAACCTTTATTTAAACTCAGAATACACCGAGGTATGAAGGTCTGATGATAAACAAACATGGATAAAAATGAATAACCACTTTACTTAGAGCATTTAAAGTTTAATGACAACAGCAGGAGGTTAAAATACGATAAAATAAGGATAGAAATGAGTCCAGCTTTAGATGTAAGGGAGTCAGTAAAACACTACAAACCAAGTGTCTGCCAGGTTTTACAGAGAGGCAGGATCACCCAACCTGAGCATCCAGCCCATAGTGATGAGAAATTTAATTATTTCCAGTAATAAATTCTAACGCAGAGCGATAAAGGCAGCTAAGGAGCCACATCTGGGGAGTACATGTATAAAATTCCACCATAATTAAAGATCTAATTCCTGTAAAAGAATTTTTGTGCAGCTCAAAGTGCAGATAAATAAATGTTCACGTTAATATTTTCGAAACATTAGTTTATCTGCATTAGAAACTAATGTTGGTGCACTTGTCGCGCTACAGTATAAAACTGTATCATCAGCATAAAGATGTATATTACAATCAGATACAGAGGAAGCAGTATCATCTATGTAAGGAGTGAACAACGGTGGCCCCAGGATCGAACCCTGTGGGACGCCATTTGCAGTTATTACACATTACTCACAGCCACACACTGTAAACTCTACAACTGTTTAAAAGCATTTTGCTTTAAAAAGCAACACTGTGAAAACTTTTTAAAAGGAAGGCGTGATCGACTGTATTAAATGGTTTAAAAGATGACTTTAAAAAAAAAAGATGCACAGTGTTTCCTTCTGTACAAAACAACAGCTGTACTAATATGTATTTTCATTTTAAACTTATGCATCCAAACTACACTGCAGTTGTAGGACCCTAAAACAGAGACTTTTGGAAGCTTGTAGGTTGTGTTTTAGTCTGGATGGACAGAAATGGAGGAAACAAAGACGTAAAAACCCACAAATCTGATCAGGTGCCACGATTTATTCCCTGATTCTTGTCAGGGATTCATGTCACCGTTTTCTAGAAAAAGAAACTAAGATTTGACTCTCAACGTCTAACAATACACAAAATACTGTAAGAGCTGAAACAATTATTATAAACAGAAAATTAGTGAGTGGCCAGAATTCACTTTTTCTAACTTCATAAATCTGAATATCAACTGTTTTAGTCCTCCAAGATTAAAGTGAACATCTTTACCAGACCAGGAGAGATTAGAGACGGTTGGACGGGTCATTTTTCAAAATTTCACCAAAACATGTACACAAATATAATTGCTAGATTTCTTTTTTTAGTTACCTTTTTAAACCAGGAAGATCCGTGAGATTAAAATCTGTTTCTTGAGGAAGACCTAGCCAAGAAGGCTCATCCTTATAAGGTTAGAAAAATTACAAAAATAAGCAGAACATGGGACGAAAATAATGCACTGAAACAACCAAGAGACTGAAGACCCACAAAACATAAACCAGCTTGATCAGAGCTTTAAACTCTGCAGCGTCAAAAAAACACAACCAGGGAGTAAAAATAGATGAATCACAATAAAAACAGTCATTAGTTACTCATCGGACAGCTTTAAAAATGACAAGTTTGGGGGTTCAAAGAGCTTTTTTCTCACAGAGTCTGAGACCCCTCCTCGGTTTAAGGGCAAATCTCTAAAAATATCTTTCCTTCCTCACTTCCTTTGCTCCACTCAGGGTTGGTTCTGCTTTTCTTGTCCCATCTGATCCCTTCTTTTGCTTCTTCCAAGCCAGTCTGGAGGTCGTAGTCTCGCCTTGGACAGAAAAGCAAACGTAAACAGTTCATGTCATAAAATTTACGATCACATAATACCAATGAAAATAAACCTGACGTAGACCCATTGCATGAAGTCAGCTCTCGTCCTGATCCTCTGGTTTCGTCTCCTCTGCAGAAAGAGGACGGGACGGTGAACAGAGATTTTAAGAAGACGAAGACGAGAGAACAAGTCACTGCGGCCTTCCAGGACTTCGTGAAAGGAAACAAGGACGTACTGGTGAGTGTGTTTCCTGCTTTAGTTTCTGTGTGCGGGTGAACGGCCTCGACGTATGGGTCAGAAAAACAGACGAGGAATTTAAAGCCCAACTCTTCTGTGCTGTCTTAACGGTCCCACGGGAAGCATATACAGACATGGTCGTCTTTCCATCACATCAGAGGACTGGTACCCCCGGAGACTCGACCTCCTCATCACCACTGTGTGCCTAACCTTAACCTCAAACCTTTATTTATGCCTCCCAACTGGGACATGAGTCTTGACAATGTGACTGTGTGAACAAAGTCTATGAAAGCCTAGATATCTATTTAAAAAAAGAAAGATTTACATGTGGCCACTTCAAAGCAGGCTCCTCGTGCAGTGACGCTCGGCTCCCAGTGTTCCTGCAGCACTCGTAGCACTTCTTCAAAGCCCCATTCTGTAAACATGTTGAGCACCATCTGTAGTGAGCTGAATCTCTTGTGAAAAATGCCGTTTGGTCTTTTTAACTTGGTGCGAATAACAAAAGATGAAGAAGGAAATTGGGTCTTTATCCTTTTCACCAAACCAAACAGCTGCTTTAGTGTTTCATTCACTTAAAGCTTGCATTTCTGGAGCAAGTTTCCATGGATGTGATGTGACGTGACTAAAGTTCTAACACAGCATCTATGAAAACTTAAAAACTGTTCCTAATTGAATTTTGCTACCATCCACTTCAGAGTACTTGCCCTGTACAGCAATGCTCGGCTCCCAGTGCTCCTGCAACACTCGGTTCTGTAAACGTGTTCAGCCCCGTCTGCAACGAGCTCAATCTCCTAAACTTTTTCAAAATGCAGCTATTCTGCTTGAATTCTAAAAAGAAGAACCAAATACAACACCTCAGAGAGTCACAGTAGAAATCTGCATCGACAGTCCGACCCTGGGGGATGAATCCCTGTTGCACAGCTGGGTGGATTTTGAAATGAAACGGCGAGTATACTGCTGATGCTCCTGATCTGGTGCTCCGTGTTCAGCTTTGGTAAATAAAAGGTCAAGAAAAAATTATCCAGTTTGCTGGATAAAACATCACACTGTGTTTGTGTTGATATAAACTTAAAGCTTGCATCACGATAGCAAGTTTCACAGACAAGGTGTGATCAAAAAGTTCCAGGACTGCACCCAAAAATGGATCAGAAAACATTTTGCAACCGCCCCCTTCAAAATAGTCTCCTTGTGCAGCGACACTCTGCTCCCAGTGCTCCTGCAACACTTCCAGCTCTTTCCTGGACAAGACGTCACTGCTTTAGTGCTATATACTTAAAGCTTGCATCTGTACAGCAGTCTTCTTGTGCAGCGACACTCTGCTCCCAGTGCTCCTGGACGTTTTACTTTGTAAACATGTCGAGCCACATCTGTTAAAGCTGAATCCAGTAAACTGTGTCAAAACTGCATCCGCCGTACTCTGATTTTATTTTGTAAAAGAAGAAGAAGTCCTGCGGAGACGAATCTGGTGAGACGATTGTGTTGTTGTGGCCAAAACGCTGCTCACATTTCATGCACGTGACGCGCTGCACAAATAGCATCAGAACTTTTTTTGTTTGCAGCTTGTATGTCCCCACAACACAAGGGCATTATTTATAAATTCATCTACACCACTAGAAGCTACTCTGTGCAGTTTACTGAGAAATCTGAAATGAGGCAAAGTGTTGTTTTGCCGTTGATCCTGTGAGCAGCTCAGTTCTAACACTGGTAATAAAAACTGGCTGAATCGGAGAATGTGATGTAAAAGCTTGTGTTTGTCTGTTTGTCTTTTCCAGAACTGTTATCTAACGAGGCTGAAAGAAATCAGAGACACTCTGGAGATCTCACCGTTCTTCAAAACCCACGAGGTAGAGACTCAGTGATGCTCTGCACAAAAACACACAAAGAAAAAACAAAGAAGTCCTGTGACGAATATCTCAAATTCTAATTCTTGGATTAAAGAATAGTTTTTTAAAATGTTTTCTTGTGGACTGGATGTAGGGCTTTTACATAAATTAAGGCAGTATATATATATATATTAAGAATTTTCAGGTTTAAATTTAATTAAATATGTGCTAATTAGCATTAATTTCCAAAACAGTAATTTAAGCACTGGATAAAGTTCAAAGTTTTATTTAGTTGACATGTTAGAGTCAAAGGTTTTTACTGAGGAGATTTTGGATATCTCTCTCTTTTTTTTTTTTTTATTACTCCATAAATCAGAAAATTCTTTTTTTTTTTTTTTTTAAATCAGAAAATTCTGCTCACAGCAACAAAAAAAAGTCAGTTTTATCCACAATTTTAGACCTAAAGTGTTCTATAAATCAGGCTGTGAATGGTTTATTGTATGGAAACAGCACAACCATGGCTAGAAGGAGAGAAATGTCTCCTGTGCCGTATCACACAGAATGACAGAAATCATTAAAAAAAAAAAAAGACAAGAGTAAAAGTCGAATTTATTTTATTATTTATTTTACAAAAATTGAGAAAACCTGGAATAAGCAAGTGAAGCATTTTTCCAAGTGTCCACAGGTGTTATTAATACTGGACAACAGAAATGAGCGATCCACGTGCTCTAGATAGTTTAATTATTCACATTTTTAAATCATTTCTACACATGTCTCTTTACTGCTCTGTGTTAACAGCCTGCAGTGAATTTATGTCATAAGACTTTTGGTTGTACCTGAGTCAAAAATAACTGAAGAAGGCAGATTTTTTTGTACTTTACAGAGTCTGGTTCAATCAAACTGTTTATTTTATGCAGATTTTTAGATGAC